GTATGAAGTGGATAACAGGGTTAGGGTTAGGGCCTCCCATTTTAACAAAATTTTCAATCATTTCATAAATATGGAGTGGTTAAAATTTTCATTCATTTGTGAAATGATTGAAAATTTTGTTAAAAATGGAGGCGCTTACCCTAACCCTGTTAACCACTTCATAAGCCATTGATATTTGACAAGTAATGATCTAAAAAACTTACCTAAGAATTAACTTGTATTAAATTACTTACCTAAAAATTAACTTGTAATAAATTATTTTCAATTTGATATAAATAAATAATCAAGCGCTAGATAATTCAAAATGGGCAGAGTTAATTCATTAAAAGTACATTATGATTGTTTGTAAACATGGAGGATACCATAGGAGTACCTATCTCACGTTTTACCCACAAGGGCAAAATATCGTGGTAAATACCGCTGCATATTAAGAAAACTTACCAGGGTCGTGGTATATAAATTCCATGACTTACTTTGCCTTTTCACTTTGTCTTATAATTCAAGACATGTTTTTTTTAATTGGTTGATTGCAATTATCACTGCATACAGTATAAATTATTAAGTCTGCCGTAAATGCATGGTTTTTCTGACAAAACTTCCTGTGTGCATAGTCAAAGAACCAAGAGAAAAATTAAATTTAATTACTTACAAATTTAAAGATTGATAGGAAATAACCAGATATTCAATAGCATTGAATTGAACATTCAACAGTAATGAATTAATGGATCAGTCAACAATGATGACCAGACAGGCTTTAAAAAAATTATGTATTCTAATATTAATATAATTTTAACAATAACATTACTAATTATAATAATTTTTCAATAAGAAATTATCTTTTATTTTCAATAAAAGAAGACATACATTGGTAAAATTTAATATTGATTAAAATGATAATGTCATAATAATTGAATAAAATAACTAATTGGTGACATTTCAAAAGCAACTTTAATCTAATTTTTCTCTAGCGACTTTTAATGAAATGATGTTATGGCTCCCCAATATTGTTAGTTTTGATACACAGCTGCAAATTGGCATTTCTAGCCAGGTTCTGACAGCTTCAATAATTAGTTTAAGATTCTCTGATATCCATGTCAGCGAGAAAATGTAACTGCAGAGTTAAAAGTGATGTTATAAACTATAAATCTTTTCAAAATTTGCTTTTTCTGTTGTGGGTCTACTTGGAATTTTGAAGTTGTTTTCAACAGTTGAATGACTATATACTGTATCTCGCTTTTTGCTTCAGAATCCTTGCATTCAGCATCATAATGTTTGCCCTGATGAAGAAAAGATTGTTCAGTCTCCTGTATTATGAATTTGTATATCGTCAATCATCAGTAACAGCAAAAATTGTTCTAGATACCATTGTTTCCTCATACCAAACGAGCAGTATTTAGCAATTGATGATATTAATTTGTGAAATTGTTGATATTTTAGTATCAAAGTGATGGGGTGATGGCTTACTTCTCCAAATGCCTCAGATCAAGCAGTTCAACAACAATAGTATGCTGAGGTCATTTGTCATCTTTTAAAAGATGAGATAGCATTTGTGTATGTTCTGCTAATTCATCTATTGTGGGATAGAGAGAAACTTTTTTAAATATTTTTGTTAATGAAATTGTTTGTTTTTGCCAAGGAACTTGTATAGCCTTGATTTTATTAGAGCTGAACAGATTTTGTGAAGTACCGGCTGAACTGTAATTGGACAAAAAGGGTCAGTATCATTGCCCTTTTTGTAGATTAGAACTGTTAACCCCCTTCACCACCATTGCAGAATTATTGTTTTTTTCCTGCTTAACACCAGCATTGCAGAATTATTGTTTTTTCCTGCTTAACAGCACTTAGCACTCCAATGGTGTGCTCTGTTTCAATTCAGAAAAAATTCTACTTATTAATCTTGTTTCTCTTTTTTCTTCTTCTTTTTTTCTTTATTCTTGCTACTAAACATCATTTTGGCTTGAAATTAGATTTAAGAAAAATTATAAACTGGTTTAAATTATCACGAGTTTTAAAATTTTCGCTTATCTTGCTATGCACAGAATGCATGGTTTTTTTTATCTTAGTTTTTCCACATTTAAATACGTGTGGAATGGTCAGCTTGTCGTTACAATGTTCACACATAGGAGGCTCTGTTTTGGCTATTAAATAGTTGTATGCCAAGTTAGAGTGACTCGACAGAATGTTGTATAATTTGCCAATTTTTTCTATATCAGGATAAATTTGATGGAGATAGGTTTGAGTTTCATTCCATTTATTCTGCCACTGTGAGTATAGAAGCAACTCAATATCACAATTGTTTTTCATTAGGGTTTCTTGTCCTAATTTTTTCACAAGCTCGTTCTTAGTTTCATATTGTTTAATGGCTAGGATCCAAGATAGTGAATCAGTGATTATGATGAAACTTTTATTTTTTTCCACTTTTTATGAACTCTAAAGTGATGTTTATTCCATATAATTTTTTCAAACCACAAATTAAAGGGTTTTGTTATTTTGAGTTTTCCATTGAGTTTTGTACAAGGATGGTTGTATAAATTGAAATGCCGAGTTGTCTTGATCAGTAGATACTTAGAGCAAGTATTTTAATGACAGTTTCTTGTTTCTGAAGTCCCAATGGCATTTTATCTGCATGTGTTTGCAAGCCATTTAATGTGGATGTCCTGTAAACGCCCTATTTTCTTCTCGTTCATTGATTCATTGATTAATTGATGTTGGGGTTCTATTCAGAAGTGATTCATTGATGATGGGGTTCAGAGCTTTTATATATGACTTCTTTGTTCCACCATAAACGTGGAGCCCTTAATCCAATACCGATTGATCTTATTTTTGATCCGTATATTGTTAGTAGTCTTCAAGGTGTGCCCATCATCTATAATGGGAAAGCATTTTTATCAAATTCAGAAATTTCAGGCACTTGTTTTTGACGTATTGAATGGGTTCTTGTAAGTTTAATTTGTCATCAAATATTAAACCTAAAAAATTTTTTTCTTTTTTTTCTTATTGTATTTCTATATTCCCAAATTTCAGACATGGGTTGGGTAAACCACATTTATTTTTCGAGAAAATAGAATAGCCCTGGTCTTGCTATTTTAAACGTTAATCCCGTTTTTGAATGACCAATTGTAAATATCTTGTAATACCAAATTCAATTTATTTATATTGTATATTTTCAATTTTCCGATTCATAAGCTGTCATTATATCATCTATGTAGAAACATTCAAGAAATTCGATAAGGATAATATTATCAATTTCATTTATTTTTATGTAAAATAGGGTCGTTGATGATATGCTGCCTTGTGAAATATGAATAAAGGAAGCCTGCCTATTAATCCAATTTGATGGAGATCTTTCAAGATACCGTATCTCCCCATTTGATCATAAGTTTTCTCTACGTTGAAAAAGATTGCTTCTTGTTCTTCTTTCTCGTGCCTTATCTTTTCAGGACATTGGCGACCATCGACCTCCACAAAACCCGATCTTTAACACTTTGTAGTAGTTGAAATGTGGAGATATTCAACAAGAGACAGAAGGATTTCACAAATGTTTTTTTTTTATTGACCGCGATCTCTTTTTTCTGCAATATTTCCATTCTTTCCTTTTGCATGATGTGACCAAAAAACTTTAACTGCCCCCGTTGGATTATCTGTATTAATTTCCTCTTTCTATAACTGGACTGTTTTAATACATCCTCAATCGAAGTTTGAGTGGTCTAACTAATTTTCATAATTTTTTGCAAAAACCACATCTAAGCAGCGTTAATCTTTTTTCCATTTCTTTAGAAATTGTCCAGGACTCAAAGCCGTAAGTTAGCACAAAAAAATGTAACACCCTAACAGTTTTAATTTTGTTGATATTCTGATTTTACTGTTGATGAGGATGTTTTTCATTTTTGAATAGGCATCTTTTGTCATAGCTATCTTTCTTTTGATATACATATCACATTTACAACCTGTGGTGATCAGACTTCCGAGATAATTGAATTGTTGACTTGTTTCACCTGTTTACCATTAATAATTATGTAGTATATTGGAGCAGTTTTGCTTTTACGGATAACCATGCACTCTGTTTTGTTGATGTTAATTTGCAAACCTTTCTTTTCACTTTCAAAAACCTGTTTGGAAACAATTGTTTGCAGCTTTTCCATTGAATCTGCTATAAGAGCTATATCAACAGCATATTTTACATTGCTAGATTCATTATTTTATTTCCTTGATTTTGATCATCTCTCTTAACTATAATTTTGTTACTCATTATTCTAATAATTTTTAATTTTTCTATATTTACATGTAGGGGTTTGTATATTTAGAATATAAAAATTTTATCCCAGTCAATGTGTTCATCTGCTTTTATGACGAAGTAAGCAGGCTAGGATTTATATGAATAGGTCCTATCTTTATATGAGATTCCGTTTTTTGGTAAATTTAGTTTTTTTTATTCTCTATGACATTAATGCACCTTGTCGCAGACCGAGATTTATCAAATGGTTGTTTCGTTTGATACGTTTCGTTTGAGTTGTCAAAAATGTCAAAAATAACAAATATTCACAAATGTAAAAGTTATACCTGGCGAATCATGTGTCGCCCAACATAGACTCTTTGTGGCAGACCTGGTTGTCGAACTGTCAAAACATAAGTCTAAACAAATGCCTCAGAGAATCAAAACGTGGAAGCTGAAAAGCAATATTCATTGAGAAAAATTTCAACAGATTGTTGCAACACAGTTAGACCACCAATCGCAAGCCAGTACAGTACATACAAAACCGTTTTAATGAACGCTGCAACTACAGTTTGTGGGAAAACTGGTACAAAACGTCAGCATGAACGGGACACTTACAGAAGCTTACTATGAAGGATGGAAGGGCAGCAGGGCCCTCTGGACTTACAAATGACATTATCAAAGCATCTGGTAATGCAGGTATCCAAATGTTACTACAACTTTGCTGTGAAGTGTGGAGAAATTGCTCAATGCCGACTGAATGGAACCATAGCATGACAGTTCCGCTATACAAAGGCAAAGGTGATCCATTGAACTGTTCATCATATCGGGGTATACGTCTGTTAGAACACTCCCTGAAAATTGTCGAGAAAATCATTGAGAGAAGATTAACGTCTTGCCTCACAATCGGAAATTATCAATTTGGTTTTCTAGCAGGGAAATCAACAATTGATGCAATTCACAATCACCGGCAACTGCAAGAGAAGTACCTCCAAAGCATCAACAACTATCACATTTTTGTAGACCTTGAAAAAGCATTTGATCGAGTTCCCCGTGAAGCAATCAGGTAGAGTCTACGTCGACAACTCATTCCAGAATATCTTGTTCGACTTGTGATGGAAATGTATACGAATACTAAGACTCGTCAGCACAACGGTTGGAAAAACAGATGCATTTGACATCGGCGTTGGAGTTCACCAAGGCTCGATTCTCAGTCCACTGTTATTTATAACTGTGATGGAAGAAATCAAACCGATGCGCACTGGTGACATTTGGAATCTAATATATGCTGATGATATCGTTTTAACAGCCACGTCTGAGCAGAATGCATCACAGATGTTTGAAGATTGGAACACCAAACTCGCCGATCATGGATTCAAAGTCAACATCAGCAAAACCAAACCAATGAACACTGGTGAACCCATCCAATCCACAGCTACCGGACGATGGCCCTGTTCAGTTTGTAAAGCTGGTGTAGGTAACAATTCAATTAAGTGTCAGCAGTGTAACCAGTGGAGTCACAAACGTTTTTCAAAAATAATTGGTACTTTATCTAAAGTGTCCAATTTTGTTTGTCCTGCTTGCATCAACCCACAACAACAAGGTAGAGAAAGTCACATCGTTTCAATATCTAGGGGATGTTCTGGATTGTACTGGAACAGCTGAAGCTGCCGTTCGAGCACGCATACGTTCAGCCTGGAATAAATGGCATCTCCTTGCCTCTATACTGATGCGGCGTGACATCCCACTACCACTACGATCAAGACTGTATGAATCTGTGATACGTCCGGTCTTGTTATATGGTGCAGAAACATGGCCAATGACAACCAAACTGGAACAACAACTTCAACGAACCGACATGAAAATGCTCCGATGGAGTCTGAAATTAATTTGAAGGACCACATCAAATTTACCGAAATCCTGCGTCGTGCTAGTTTAGATGATATAAAGGACGAAGGCCGGCAACACCGTGGTTTGGTCATGTCAAACGAAGTGGAAACAGTGCCATAACTATTCTTGCAGATGTTGAAGTACCTGGCACACGTCCCAAAGGCCGTCCAGAGAAGTTTTGGTCGCAAATAATCGAGCGAGACATGAAAGCTCTAAATTTAAATGAAATGGATACAACTGATCGTCTAATTTGGCGCAAAAAGTTGATGACAAAGAAAACAACGTCCTATCTCGGGAAACTGGGTCTCTGGACGCTAAACGAAGATTGATTGATTGATTCGTTTGAGTTGTGACCCATCAACTTTTTAGTTGTCGTGCATTGGTTTCTGTAAAACAGTGGTATCGCTACTTTAGTTGCACTTTCTTGAAAGTTTGGTGTGATTGGGTTAACTTTTAACTTTTTATAGATAAATTTTGATGGTATTTTCGTTTATTTTATTTGAATAGTTATTGTTTATCAAGAACTATTTGATGCTAACTAACTCAGTATGGAATATTATTATTTGAAGAAATTTTGTGTGCGCTATGGATAAAATTATAAACCACGTTGTGTTTATAAAGGTCTGGAAAATCAGATATGTTGTTAAACACTTGGCCCGAGTTAGAAGGTTTGACATAAATCTTGGTGGTTAACTGTTCTTTTTTCTGTTCAACAAAACAGTCAAGGAACGCGAGTCGTTTTTCGGTGCTGAATTTTATTTCACATTTTAAGAGAGATCTATTTGGAAAAATATTTTGTAGCTTGTATATATTTATCAGTAGTGGTTGAGCAGATGATGAAAATACGTAACGTTCGTATATTGGTGGTTTATTTGTCATATCACTAAATATCTTAGTCTCAAGGTCGGCCATTTAAAACTTAGTGAATAGAGGACACAGCGCAGAACCCGTGGCGACGCCGTCGATCTGTAAGTACAGTAAGTCGTTTGGCGCGACACGGTGCATGACTTTAGAAGCTCGACAAGTAAACTAGGAGGGATGTCAAGTTATGGGGGTGTTGGGTGATTGTATACATGTTTACATGTCGAAATCGAGGGGTACATTAGTAAACAAGTTCTCAACGTCCAACGAAGCCATTAGACCGACACACCGCCTGTTATCGTTGATGATCTCAATAAATTTAAAGCTAGATCGTTGATGATCTCAATAAATTTAAAGCTTGATTTGAGAAGAAAGCACTTGACAGCCATAATCAATTAGGAGATAAAATGAGAAAAAATCTACATAATCAAAATCTGTGTTAGCCATAATCAATTAGGAGACAAAATAAGAAAAAATGTACATAATCAAAATCCGTGTTATATTTGCGTAAACAATTTTCAAAAATTTTTACTTTCTTTTTTTATTTTTTTTTAAATATAATGTTTCTAGATAGTTTGCAGTTTGCGAAAAAACAAAACATCGCAAAACAAACAATTCAACTTAAAAAAAAACTTCTAAAGCCTATTTTCTACTACTTACAACTAACTCTTTTAGCTCGTCGATTTAATACAAATTAAAAATTAAAATTGAAAGGATAAAAACAAAATTAACTGCAAATAACTAATTGATATAAAAATTATATAATTGTATTTCTCAAAATTTACTCTACGTAGATTCCATATATATATAGAGCGAAAGTAGTTCCATTTATCAGGCGAAACGTCTTCTGGCCAAAACTTTATTTGGGTGAAACATTGTTCGGGTGAATGCTCCTTTAACCGCTTTTAATTACATACCTGTATGTGTTTGTCAATGAATAAAGATAATATTAATAAAATATAATAAAATTTCTAAACACTGTTTAAAAAATTATGCTTCTTTTTTTAAATTTAAGTAAATTTGAAAATTTAATTAACACGTTTTTAAATGAATTTCAGTTTTGAAAAAAATATATTAAAATAGACAATTGGGATACTTTAAGCATATGATTTTTGCTTTTGCAACAGACCCGTAGACTAGGATTGTTCTATACACATTAGGGTGGGGCGAATAGAGGTGAAGTTGCAAAATCGAAGCCATTTCTGATATAGATAGTTACTATTATATGAGTATAGCATAGAGTTAAATTTTTAGTCGTTTAGAACAGTATTTAGTGGTCTCACATTGCTCGTGATTATTACGTAATATATAAATAAAAAGCGCATGTGTTATGCAATGTAATTAGAATCATACATTAAATAAAGTTCAAACAGTTATTTCTTACATTTCAGCAAAAACAACAAATTGTCACTCAAATAAAATCAAAATCCTTCAGTTCTAATCTTTTTTTCTTAATGATGGATTCTTCCGTAGACGCTATCATTTTATGGCACGCTGCATGGCCGCTAACTGTGGACGTAGCTCCAGCCATTTGCTTAACAGCTCGTTCGAATCCTTGACTGTGACAAGGAATCATTGGGAGAGATATTGGACTATGTTCAACTTTTTATAACTGACAAAATCTCAGATGCAATATCTTTTGCTTTGCCTATCTGCGGTGCCACATGATCTACATAATTTTGACCGTGGTAGCCAATTTTAACATAATGGTTCTCTTTTTTAGTTCTCACAACCCTACCAATATCCAGCAACCGTGTTTCATCAATTCGTCCATCAAAACTAATACACTTAATCTTAATCTTACACTTAATCCTGACACTTTTTTAACTTGTCTCTCCAGAACTTTCATCCATTCAACATCCTATCTTGTGAATATTTTTTAGAAATATATAACTAATACCAGGCGTAAAATGAATAAAATTGTATAAAAATGTTAACATGATGTGGTACCCCTAGAATCTGAAATATGTCTCAAACTTTCTAGCATACTTTCATGAAATACTTTCTAGCATAGTTAGCAACTTTTGGCACTTGAAATGACATATGTTCAATTTTTTCCCCATCCTAATACACATATCCCATGAATAGGTCTTAAAAACCTGAAGTTGTACTAGGGTAACGTTTTAAATTTTTTTAAAGAATAATAAAATTTTAGACTTTGAAAGCATTTGTTTTAATTGAAATGATTGTATTAACTAGTTGCTATATGTGTATGCCATTCACAATTTTTAGAATAAATACAAAAATTTTTGTCACGGAATTGGTTTTTTCAGCTATTCATCAAAAACTATTTAATTTTTAGGAGGCAGATGATGAAGATTATAAATCAGAATACTCAAATTCAGATGCAACTGATTCCGATATTGACATAAATGAAGATGACGACACGATAAGTGATGATGATATAGAAAAAAAAGAAAAAAAAACGTTTTCCTCTGTCTACAAAGTTTGAAATAGTGTATATCTTTAATCTTATTATTTAATAAATGTAACTAAGCTGTTGAAAATAATGTAAAATTTTAATGATTTCATCATTATTTGGTTTAAATGGTCTTTGAACTAACAATTTTATTGGACAACTTTTTCTGAAGGTTAAATATTGGCACATTTAACACAGTGTGTTCTGTGTAATTTAATATAATGGTTGACTGTAATTAGCAGCAGTAATAATAAACATAGATTTAGGGACTGAATATCACTAATACGACGTCTGTACTTAGAACTGTAGTATACGTCGCAATCTAAAAATAATGCTCAGGTTCTTTACTATTGCTATATCAACTGTAACACTGTTCTGTCGCCTACAAAACTTTTTGAGATTTTGTGTCACTAGTGAATTCGGTTTAAGCTGTCATTTATGATTTAATTACTTTTACAGCTTTACATTTGTGTTTAGTATATATTTGTGTTTTCCGAACATTTTATAAATTATTTGTGAATTATTATGGTTTTTAGAGCTGTTGGTAACCTTGATGTATGATTGAGTAAAATACTCAATTGATGATTTCATTCTATTTATAATGGTCTACTAAAAAGTAGTGTGATAAAACAAAGGCAGATGGAGAAGGAATAAATTAAAAATAATAAATTTTTTATTGTATTATTTAATGAGAAGGCGCTTTATACATAACAGGATCCAAAAAAGTGTGTCAAAAGAGAATGTAGCAAAATCCTAGATGCTAAAGTAACTAAGTCAGACTGTTCAAGGCCAGTTGATATACTTTGGGGTAAGACCTATTTATCATTTTTTTAGTATTTATTTATATATTTTTCTTAATTTATTATTCATTAAGTCATATATTTATTTATCTGCACAATGGCTGTGTTGTAAATATATATTTTTTTTATTGTTCTTCAAAAATCAGGATCTGACAGACGCAGAAACTGTTACAGCATGCAAGGCAGTAGTATAAAATTAAATGAATAAGTAAATAAATAAATAAAAAACGGAGAAAGAAAAATGTTTAAACATGAAAAATAAATTAATGGCGTAAAAAGGCAAATTAATAAGGTGGTTTGTTAATAGACTAGATGATGACTTAGTGAGTTAGTGATGTGATCGATAAATAAAAACTTGCTGAGTGAATGATAAAGTTTTATTGAGTGTTAATATGTTTGAGGTGTCTAGTGATGAAGGTCTTTTCCTGATATCTTGATTGGGTGGCGACTTGCGTTGACGAAGGTTGTGTGTTGTAGTTTTAATTGGTGGTAGCAGAGGATGGATGACGTGGTCGTTGTTATTTTCTACTTTCTTGAAAAGTCTTGAATCGAGTGTGTTGAATATCTGAGTGATGGTAGGGTATGATGCAGGTAGATAGTTGAGGTGAATTATTTTTATGATGAAAGATTGCAGTTGCTGAAGTTGTTGTTGTGTAACAAAACCCGACCATGAGGGAGCTGCATATTTGATGCGTGAGATTATGAGTGATTCAATGATGTCGAATAGTTTGATGCCTCTGAGACCATATGAGCGGGGTGTTTGTGAGCGTTTGTGACCATGTGAGCGGAGTGCGTGGAATGTTTGAAAGCCTTTTGGGATGATGTGATTGGTATGGAGTACTATATAAAGTGTGGAGGTGAATGTGATGCATAATATTTTTAATTGACTTGTGCGAGTGTTCTGGAGGTAATGTTATTTTCTTACGGCTATTGTGAATGATGAGTACGAATGATTTATTGAGATTAAGTGACAGATTGCATCGTTTTGACCATGTAGTTAATGAGTCGAGTTCTGAGTGGATGGTGTTTGAGTTAGATAATGGGATGATAAGGTAGGTGTCGTCAGCGTATTTCATGATTTGATTGAAAATATGAAAACTTCTGAGAGCAGAAGCATTGATGATAAGGGTAGATGGTCCAAGGACAGAACCTTGAACTACGCTAGAATTAATAGGTAGAATAGATAAAAAAGTAGAATGACTAATATTAGAAAGAAAATTTTTTATAATATTGTAAATGTTGAGGTAGAGGAAGAGAGACCAACTTGTCTGAAAGTGAGAAGTGATTGAGAGTGTCAAAAGCTTTAGAAAAGTCGAGAGCAATAAAATGAACATAATTATTATTTTTAAGAAAAGATGTTGTTATAGAAGTAAGAGAGATGATGGCAGATGTAGATGTACCTGTAGGGCGAAATGCAAACTGATCTTGTAATAGTGGTTTGATGGATGGATGGTTGAAACATGGATAGATGAATGACCTAACGATGAATGGGGGTGATAGATATTGGGCGATAATCTATTGGTGATGATGGGTGTTTTGTTTTAGGAATTGGATGAATTATGCTGGATTTCCATTGTGATGAGATGAATGAATGCATTAAGCAGTGATTGTAGACTGGAGATGAATGGTGCTATGATTTGTAGAAACCATGCTGGTAGACTGTCTGGACCTTTACCGGATGCATGTGCGCAGGACTGAGTAAGAGATAAATTGTTGATGTTGATAACGACTATTGATTGTTGTAGTTTCCCGGCCTCAGGCATCGTTATTGAGATCCAGACGGATCCGAAGCCAGTTGGCCACGGCCAACTGGCTTCGGTGCCAAAGATCTATTATCGTGAAGGATGTTGGGTTGCTGGTACAGCTGAACAAATGAGGGACGTCGTCGGGATGTTCTCGGCAAAGTGGACAGATGTTGCTGCCCCACTTTCAATTTTTAATTTGTAGCTGTTGAGAGAGATGCGGTGACCGGAGCAAAATTGGGCCAGCGTTCTTCTCATCGCTCTAGGCAAACTCTTTTCTGTCTTGTTTATTTTTGGTGTCGGAGGAGGCCAACCGTTGAGTAGCACTGCGGTGTGGTAAGACTCGGAGGCAAGTATTGCGGCACTGCTATGTAACGGGCTCTGGAGCAACGGCCTTCCCGCGGTGGAGCCGATTGAGGAAAACTGTCAGACTACCTCAACAAACCGTTGCAACTCCCCCTCCCTGTCAAGACATTGATTGTTGTTGCTTTTGTTGGTGGAGTTTTGTAGGACGGTCGGTTGACATGAAAGCAAAGTGGGTGTTGAGTGTGTTGGCATCAATTTGCTGTGCGGTTGACTGACGTGCTGAATGATTTATCAGAGCCTCTGATCTTGTTGACTTGGTCCCACATAGCTTTGCTTCCATGCTTACTGTTAGTGAAGGTTTTTGAGTTGAAGTTGATGATGAGTGTGTCGATGTATTTGGTGATCGGCTTTGAGGATAGATCCTGATCTCATGAATTTATTTTTTTGGCGAAGTAGATATTTGATGAATGGGCTGATGTAATGTAATGTTTGATGATATATAATGATGTATATTCATTAAACTCAATCTTTTTCTTTTTCTCTGTCGCTCTCTCTCTCTCTCTCTCTCTATATATATATATATATATATATATATATATAAACAGTTTTTTTTATGAAATTCACCGATATTTTAGCGTTAATAAATTTACAATTTTTGTTATGTCTATGCTGAGAATTTAAATTGTTAAAAAGCAAAAAACCATTGTTATTTACTTTTTATTATATGTTTAATTTAATTGTAAACTTATAGATTTATTTTGATAAAAATTTATCATAATCAGGGCAAATATGTTTATAAATTAACTAGAAATTAATAAAAACAATTATAATAACTCATTCAAATTTAAATAGATTGTTGATTCGTGGTCATGGTAAACGTTAAAAGGCTAAAACATAAGGCGCGAATTTTAAGTAATAATTTTTTTTTTATATTTTGGTTTCTTATGTTACATCAATAACTATTATTATCGTTATTATTATTTCTGTTGATGTGAACGGCAAATGGACCCAACCAGAGTTGGCGAAGTTGTCTTACAGGTTGATCCATGGTCACCGCTTTTGTTCAACTTTTGTTTCAACTCGTTAATGAAAACTTTACAAAAGCCAAAATTGATAAATTTGGGTTACATATGCGAACTAGGCAAACGTTGCAACTGGTTACAATTTGCTAACGATGCAGTGGTTGTATTAAATTGAGTCGTAAACTCACAAAAGTTGACAGAAGTATTCTCTGCTTGGTGTCAATGGGCTAAGTTGATAATCAGATTAGATAAATGCAACACCTTTGGTATGATGAAAGTCAATAGAAAATGTACACAAATCAAACCTGCTACCTATCTAAAAATTGAAAAAAATATTTCCAATTAAAATTAACGAGTCTTTCACCTACTTAGGAAAAATATCCGAATTTAAAATGAATAATTAGGTCTCTAAAGCCAAAGTAAAAGAAAAACTTGAACTGTTACGAAATACTACATCCGGTATAAACATTAAATTAAGATGAACCTATACATATTTAATCTATACATTCTTTAGCAAAGGCAATTTGAGTTAAAGTCGTATGATTTTTGTTCCACTCTGAATTCCAAAAGCACGGAACATGTAAGAGTTCGGCTGAATCTTCCAATGAATGCGTCTATTAAAGAGACGATGGCTCTCCTTAAGCTTCAAAGCGGTTTAGACATTCAAACTTTTAAAATAATATCAGAACGACTTAGGATGTCGAAACGCTTTTTGATGAGAAAGAAAAGTCATGAATTTATTAAAGATTTATGGTTCGACACCATCGCTAAAAACGCTCTAACCTTCAACCAGCATCCTGAACTTAAATCCAACATCTACACAAGATATTTTGATGATATTTTTGTATCTTATAACGATCATAATTTAATCGACAAAATTTATAAAAAATATTCAATAAATCCAAAGTAAAATTTACCATTAAATATGAAAGTGATAAAAAACTCCCTTTTTTTGACGTTCTTGTCTCTCGCAACGAACCCAACTTTCAAACCTCTGTCTTCATTAAAGGTACTAATAAAGGAATATGTTTAAACGGAAGTATTGAATGTACTAATGAATATAAATTGAGTACCGTAAGATCATTCATCAACGGCGCTTTTATACACTCCTCCCCAGACGACGTTTCATCAGAAATCAAACTTGTCACAAATCTTATAAATAATAATTACAGCGCAGATCTAATTAAAATTGTCATCGATAAAAAGCTTAACAACATTTGAACCAAAACAACAACAATAGTATTGTCACCAATATCAACAACTATAACGGCAATGACATGCTATTTATCCTCTTACTGTAAAAAGTATTCCAAGTCGCTCTAGAAAATGTAGATGTTGGAGTAAAATGTGGAGGCACAAAGCTAAACAATTTAAAGTTTACAGATGATGTTGGATTGCTGACAGAAACTGAAAAAAATATTATAAAACCTTACCATAAGAGTCAAGGAAGCAATTAAAAAATTTGGATTAACTATCAACACAAAAACAAAGGTGATGGCATTAAATCATCAGAAAAAAACCCAAATGAAATTAAATTCAGATGTACTGGAGGTAGTGGAAAACTTTATTTACGTCGGTAGAAAGATAACAAGCACCGAAAGCTACCAGGAAGACATAAAAAGAAGAATAAGCATAGCTCTACAAACAATGGGGTGCTTAAAACATATGGAAAGCAAAAGATGGAATTTTATCAACCAAAAGAAAGTTATGTGAGACCGTCACTGTTCCACAGATGATATATGGATCAGAAACGTGGATAATTAAAAAGACAGATGAAAACAGACTTTAAGCAACCGAAATGAATTGTCTGAGCCTCCTCGTGGGTGTAAGTAAAATCCAATAAATAAGAAACAACAACATCAAACAAAACTTGGTGAAGAGAGTAACATAATAGAAAGTATCCGGAAATGAAAATTAACTTGGTTTGGACATGTAAATAGGATGAACTTAGAGAAGTTACCGTATAGGGCCTTATTCAACTATGTAGAGGGTAAGAAAATAAGAGGTCATCCAAAAAAAACTTGGACTGACAACATCAAAGAAAACTTTAAAATAAAAAACACAAACATCGCAGAAGCCAGTAAAATGACAAAAAATAGAAGAAGATGGAGGCTATTTTTGATTAGCCTGGGCTGGCAGACTGCAGATGACGATAAACATTAAATTATTATAAAAATAAAAGCAGAAATAAATAAATTAAATAAATAAATAGTAAGTAGTATATACAGAAACATACATATATTTATATACTTATAATTAAATATAAATACACACACACACATACATATATATATATATATATATATATATATATATATATATATATATATATATATATATATATATATAATATATATATTTTTAAAATTTGTTTTTTTCGTTGATTTTCTTTTCGATTTTTGTTATTGTTGCTTTTCAGTCATTTTTAATTTCGTTAACTAACTACTGATAGCGCTTTAGAGACTTTTTTTTCTTTAATTGGCGCTTTATAAATTTTTCATAATAATAGTAATAATTTATACACATATATATAAGAATATTGTCCACTTATGAAGTGTTATTTTTATTTCTATTAATATTATTACCATCATCATTAATATCACCATAACAATCACTACAGTTATTACCATTATCATTATAATTATTATTAGTAGTGGCAGTAGTAGAAGTACTTTTAGTTCAAAAAAATTATTATTATGGTATAGAATTTTATCTAAAATATTTCTATTTAGCATTAGTTTTTAATTATGAAGTGTTTTTTTACCATTTTGTTTGTGCATTGCTAATCTGCGTCTCAGAGTAGTTGTAGTCATTCCGATATATTGGGTTTTATGGTGTACTGTACACGCTCACCAAATCTACAATTAAATGCATATACTAGATGAATAATTTTTGAAATAAATTAAATATAAACTAATACTGCCATTGCTGTTGTATATATTTATATATATATTTATATATGTAGTTTGGGACGAGGCCTTCGTTGATGCATATTTCATTAAATTTATATGCTCACTCTGTATCAATAGTATCAAGTATCAAATCTACAATTAAATGCATATACTAGATGAATAATTATTGAAATAAATTAAATATAAACTAATACTGCCATTGGTGCTGTATATATATATTTTCGTTATTATTTAAAAATATTTTGCACTGACGATGATATATTTTATATCGAAAATTAACTTTAAATTATTTACATAGATATATAAGAGAATTAAACAAAATAAATTAAAATTTTAAAAATTGCTGAAAAAACGACCATAAAGTAAATTAACAAAATAAAAAGCAAAAATCATACTACAATATTCATGTTTCCAAGTTTATATATATATATATATATATATATATATATATAGTAGAAGAAGTACTTTTAGTTCAAAGAAAAGACTTGATACTATTGATACAAGGTGGGCATGCAAATTTAATGAAATACAAATGCATCAACGAAGGCCTCGTCCCAAAAAAAACTTTTGAATGCACAGTTGGCATGTATATCTATATATATGCATATATATATATATATATATATGCATACAAATGTTGTTGACGCGCACAGTCGTCAATAGGGCATTTAAATTCACATATTACATGATTACGCTTCAAATCATCTTTAGTAGAATCATCTTTGGTAGTGCAGTTGTTCTTTAAAACAAATTGTGATGTCTTACAATTAATGTAGTATATCCTGAGTTTTATTTTATTAGTATCATTGATTGGTGTACCATTTCTTTTTATGACGACTTCGTATATTTTATTTATCGAAAATCTTGAGCCTACGGAATAACGAACACTTAACGATCGTTTAAATCTACGACACTGGTGTTAGAAACATAGAGATCATTGAAGTTATAAGCTATTGTTCTGGAATAGTCTGCCTAAGGTACTTCAAAAATCTGGAATATCATTATCAATGTTTAGAAAACGTCTTAAAATACTTTTGTTTGGTAAGTATTAATTATCGAAACCGCTTGTGACGTTGCTAAAAAGCCTTCAACATAGAGAGCGTTGATGAGAAGCAATTATAATTAGCGTTATATAGATAACAAATTATAATACAATTCTATAACAAATATGCCAAGGCGATAACGAAAGTTTGTAGCCCAAACAGGGTTAGTGCTAACAACAACGTCAATGCCAGATAATATAATGGCCATCAATCATCAGTGAAAAAGAGGATGACGTTATTGATTTGAACATCAATGTAAATTTTAAGTGCTTCAGAGAGGTTTATTTCAAACAACGCTATATAAATGCTCTGGTACTAATGATGATAATAATGTATAATCATCAAGTAGCGTAGCCAGAACTTTTTGTAGGTGGGCTTGCATGTTGTAAAAAAAAAGAATTTTGGCGACTTTTTTGGTTATCTCAAGTATTTTTACAATTTTTCTATTGAAACCAGTGTTTGTATACTAAAATTAACAATATTTTATTTTTGTGGAGGGGCTGAACTTTTGCCAGTCCAAATTTATTTAATACTTTGATGAAATTAGGGAAATTGGAGACTGGTAAATCAAAATTTAATTTCAGCGAAAGAATTTTGGATTTTTCACTTTTTATAAAAAAAATTTATTGCACAGCGCGTTTGGTAGCATCTATTGTCAGTATTAAAAAGATTACGCTTTGCTACACACATATCTTCCAAAAAACACGAGCTTAAAAATTTATTTTTTATTTACAAATAAAATTGTTTTCAAATTCATAACGCTTTCTAGAGTCGGATAAAAGTGTACTCCAGTCACTCAATAAATTCCGACTCAGATAAAAGTATCCGACACCCTAGTAATTCTATCGGTAGAGAAAACTGAATGAAATAACGATTTAAGTCCTTGTACTGTTTGTCATGTACTGTTAAGTTACATGTTTTATTATAACAACAACACACGTTTAGACGACATTTTTCCCGAGATCGGGGGTTGCCGTTTGGCTACCTATGATGAAACCGAAATACCCCTCGACGCCATTCACATCTGTCACTCGCCTCAATATCACGCAACAACGCTTTCACTCTGTCTTTCACCTGCTCTCTCCATCCCAATCGCGGACGACCCCTTCCTATCATTCCTACAACCTCGAACTCCAACGCTCGCCTAATCCCGACCCTTTCATCCCTTCTCAACACATGTCCATACCACCGCAATCTCGATCTCCTTATCAATGTCACAATGTCTTCATTCAGTCCCATCATCGGCATCAGCTCCGTACTACTCCTCCTATCTTTCACTTATCTAACCTCCTATCTAACCCCACACATCATCCTCACCATAGCTCTTTCAGCCCTCTGCAGTACACTTTCCTCCTCTCTCCTCAACACCCAAGTTTCACCACCATATGCCATCGCTGCTCTCACACATGCTTTATATACCCTCCCTTTCATCTTCACTGACCATTTCTTTCCACACAATAACCCACCCAATTCCCTAAATTTTATCCATCCCACACGACTCTAGCCGTAAAAGCGATCAAACATCCTCCATCCGCGTTCAACTTAACCCCTAAATAAACAAAGCTTTCCACTCTTTCAATACCACCACTCAACCCCGCCCTTGCTCCGTCCTATTAATCACACCATGAACATATTTCTTACATTTGAAAGTGCCTTCCACTTTTTTCAGTGCCCCCTCACACCACTACATCTATTATGCTCCCACTTCTGACATCCTATACACAATACCGAGTTAGCCTTCACTCTCCTGTCACATACCCCACAGGAGTCTATTTTACTTATCACTCGCTCCCCACCTTCCCCACTCACCATTACCTTCGTCTTACCACTATTAACTTTTAACCCTTTCTTTTCGATAACACTTTTTCATCTGTCAAATTTTAACTGCAATTCTTCTATGCTATCAGTCATCAAGACTAAATTATCTGCATACAAAATCTCAAATAACAACCCCTCCATTATGTTTCCACACACAACATCCATCACAATTGCAAACAAAAACGGTGATAACACTGATCCTTGATGACTCCTATCTTAACACTAAAAGCGTCCGACGTCCCCATTCCGACCCTCACCTTTGTCTTCGCCCCTTCATACAGCTGCATCACAGCTTTAACAAGTCTCTCATTCACTCCTTTCTTCCTCAACGCCCATTCAATGACCTTCCTCGGTACTCGATCAAAAGCCTTTTCTAGATCCACAAAACACATGTACAATCTTCGTTTCTTCTTTCTATAATTCTCCTGCAACATTCTCACTATATTGTTAACTTAATGCTGAGGGTTTTAAACAAATTTTGATAATCATATGTTAGCACTGTTTTTACGGAACTTTAAATATCTAAACGCATCATTAAAAAATACACGATTTATTTTAATGTTTTCCATTTTAAAATTTGCTAAATAAATAATAAGTAGAAGTTTGTTTCAGCTGCAACTGTATGTTTTATAGATGGAATAACAAAATCACGTAACCTAGTTTAGGCAATAAATTTTTTTACTAATAAATTCTGCAGTTTCTCCAGGTTCATCCGGGTAGCCGACCCCCGGTCAACCTAGCCGTCCATCCTTACGAGGTTGGTAAATGGGTAGACGACGTAAGTTGTCGCATGTTGGCTGGCGAGATGGCTCAGTGGTTCAAATGCTCGCTGAGTCAAACCTCTCAATGGCTATCATACACTCAGCGTATATGATGTGGTGCTTGCGCGTGCACATAAATACATGTGTACGTCGTGTGAAAAGGATATACAGCTTTTGTGGCGAAGATGGCTGCCTCAAATCAATAGATCAAGATTTGAAGAACATAATAAAAGATATATAAATAATATATATCTGTAACATTGTAAGTGGTTCTGCGTATGTCAGAGCCGCAATAATAAAGACTAATAAAAAAAATATTCTAATCAATAAATTGACGATAATATCGATACATACTGATAAAAAATTCAAATAGCCAATGTCACATCAAGTATCATTTGCCCTCCAATCATACATAAATCTGGCATTCATAAGATAAGTATCCAACTTTTTTTTAAATCATTCACACTATCAGCATTCACAACATCAACACCCAGATTGTTCCAGATATAAATTGATCTATTGATAAAGTATTGTTTCCTCAAGTTCTTATGGAATGGAAGAGCAGTCAATTTCATTTCGTGTCCTCTTGTTTGTCCACCAGCTTTCAACATTACTGGGAGGTCGCGTTGATCTTTAGCTCTAAACAAGTTATACATCATGATGAGATCCCCTCTGATGCGTCTGTATTTCAGTGTTGGCAAGCTCAAAAATTTTAGACGATCTTCATATTTTATATGTTCGCAGGCCTTGATCGACTTTGTTGCTCTTTTCTGGACCTCTGTTTCCCGTACTGTCCACGGAGACCAAACACAAGCTGCATACTCTAGATGATATCTGACTAATGATTTATAAACCATTATAAAAATATGATCACTAACACCTTTAAAATTTTTAATTATTAAACCTAACAAAGAATATGCTTTTTTAACATTGTTATGAATTTGATCAACAAATTTTAAAGAATTATCAAATATTACACCTAAGTCCTTAACACTATCGACATTATCCAATGTATGATGACCAATTTTATATTGAAAATTATTTTAAGGTATGTTATACCCATATTTCATTACCACACATCTTTTTTCATTTAATTTTACATTACTCTTTGCACACCAACTAGTCAAGTCATTTAACCCATTTTGTAATACCATTCTATCATCATCTGAGCTAACAATTCTGTAGAATTTTGCATCATCTGCATACATATACATTGCTGAACCTTTTGCATCTTTATACAAATAAAACACATCGTTAACATATAAAAGAAATAATATAGGACCCAGCACCTTCCCTTGAGGAACCCCACTTAACACTGTACAACGTCTAGACATTTTATCATTTAATCTCACTCTGAATGTTCTTCCACTTAAATAACTGTTTACCCAAGTAATCAATCTATCATTCAATCTGTTCATTTTTTCAATTAAAATACCATGTGACACTATCAAAAGCCTTCTCAAAATCCGTGTACACAACATCAATCTTGTAGCCATCATCTAAAGCCTTAGTCCAATCATCCAAAAGTTTCAAGAGTTGCATTACCGTTGATTTACCTTTTACAAATCCATATTGTCTAGGGTCAATCAAATCATTATCAGTTAAATACAACATCAAATCATTCTTAATAACCGATTCTATCAGTTTACAAATAACACTGGTCAACGCCACTGGTCTATAATTTCTTGCATCTTTTTTATAGATAGCTGTTACAACACTTACCTTCCATATACTATTAATTGTAAAATGAAAAAATACTTTAAATTTTTGTTTCACATTTTTACTTTGTCAACTAATTTAGTTGATTACCTTAAACGTTTAAGAAAAAAAATCGATAAGGAAGTCAACAGCAGAAAAATCGAAATGTACAGAAGGTATTTTGAAAGAAAGGAAAGCCAAAGCAGCACTTAATAAGCTTTCAGGTGACAAAAGAAAAATTACAGAAATGAGAAGATTAACTCAAGAAGAACTGCTTGCTGAAGCCAAAATCACAGAAGAAATAAACTTGGCTTCCTTGGGTTAGTAAATTTCATTAATAAATAAATGAACTATGTGATACATCAATAATTGGATTATATGTTACTGATCTGATGCACTGTTAATTATCAAAGTACTCATACCATTAATTGTTAAAATTTGATGTCGCACATGGGTTAAGCTACGGTAAAGGTATTGAAAAGCAATGTTGATGGACCTTGTGTCGTAAAAATGGAAAAATTTTCAACTTTTGATTTACATTTTATTTAACTTTCACTACAAAATAAAAGACGTTTAAAAATCAGTAGAAACCAGTCACTTATAATTGAACCCGTTACATTTAATGTGGATTGTGGATAATACAGCCTTTGTGGTACACGAACATTCAATTAAAAGCTTAGAATAACATGTAAGCAGTCCTGCGTTTGACAATTGACACCAAAGTTGCCATAGAGTTTATTAATCATCAACTCGTGATCAACACAATCAAAAGCATCTGATATATCTAAATGAACAAGCAGTGAAATGTGCTGTCTGTTAAAGCCATCAGATAGATTAGAGATTTTGACGCTCCACCCATCGAAGGTCCTATTCCAGATATCACTATAGAGGAGCTTACAGAAGCTCCGAAAGCTATGAAGGATGGAAAGGCAGCAGTGCCCTCTGGACTCACAAATGACATTATAAAAGCATCTGGTACTGCAGGTATCCAAACGTTACTACAACTTTGCCGTGAAATCTGGTGATCCATTGAACTGTTCATCATATCGGGGTATACGTCTGTTAGAACACCCCCTGAAAATTGTTGAGAAAATCATTGAGAGAAGATTAACGTCGTGCATCAAATTCGAAAATTATCAATTTGGTTTCCTAGCGGGGAAATCAACAATTGATGCAATTCACATCCTACGGCAACTGCAAGAGAAGTACCTCGCAAAGCATCAACAACTATTACACATTTTTGTAGACCTTGAAAAAGCATTTGATCGAGTTCCCCGTGAAGCAATCAGGTGGAGTCTACGTCGACAACTCATTCCAGAATATCTTGTTCGACTTGTGATGGAAATGTATACAAATACTAAGACTCTTGTCAGCATAACGGTTGGGAACACAGATGCATTTGACATCGGCGTTGGAGTTCACCAAGGCTCGATTCTCAGTCCACTGTTATTTATAACTGTGGTGGAAGAAATCACAAAACCGATACGCACTGGTGACATTTGGAATCTAATATATGCTGATGATATCGTTTTAACAGCCACGTCTGAGCAGAATGCAGCACAGATGTTTGAAGATTGGAACACCAGACTCGCCGATCATGGATTCAAAGTCAACATCAGCAAAACCAAAGCAATGAACATTGGTGAACCTATCTAATCCACAGCTACTGGACGATGGCCCTGTTAAGTTTGTAAAGCTGGTGCAGGTAACAATTCAATCAAGTGTCAGCTGTGTAGCCAGTGGTGTCACAAACGTTGTTCAAAAATAATTGGTAGTTTATCTAAAGTGTCCAATTTTGTTTGTCCTGCTTGCATCAATCTCCAACAACAAATTCAAAATAGCAATGATTTGAAGCCATTAAGGTAAAAAAAAGTCGCATCGTTTCAATATCTAAGGGATGTTCTGGATTGTACTGGATCAGCTGAAACTGCCGTTCGAGCACGCATACGTGCAGCCTGGAATAAATGGCATCTCCTTGCCTCTATATTGATGCGGCGTGACATCCCACTTTCACTACGATCAAGAATTTATAAATCTGTGATACGTCCGGTGTTGTTATATGGTGCAGAAACATGGCCAATGACAACCAAATTGGAACAACAACTTCACCGAACCGATATGAAAATGCTCCGATGGATGCAACGAATTAGTCTGAAGGACTACATCAAATCAACCGAAATCCTGCGTCGTGCTGGTTTAGATGATATAAAGGACGAATGCCGGCAACACCGTCTGAGGTGGTTTGGTCATGTCAAACGAAGTGGAAACAGTGCCCTAACTTTTCTTGTTCAACAATCTTTGAAAGAAATGGTAAATCGGCAATAGGTTTATTGTTTAAAAAAATGGTCTAACAATCGCATGTCTAACATATGAGAGCCGCTGATTAACAAGGCGGATTAAAAACAGCAAGAAGAAACCAATGTACCTCTTAAGAGTTGTAGTAGGAATATGATCAAAATAACGAGACTTAAATGTGGATCGAAGTATTATTGATTAAATATCTTCAGTATTGCATGGAGAAAATTGAGACAAGAAGACTGAGTCAGTCAAAGAAGGATTTTTGGATAACAGTTTAACAATTTACAGGTCCAGAGTTTTTAGAAGGTATTTCGTCAAATTAATTTTTTTGAAAGTTGCGAAATTATCGGGAGTAATCCCAACTGTCTGTGAATTATCAGATGAGCGTTGTCTACCCAATATATTATTAACTATGCCTCAGTTTTTTTGATCATGTATTATTAGCTGCAACTCCACTATACATTCGTTTTTTAAAGTGAATAATCTGCTTTTTTGCGAGTGAATTAACCTATGAATTTTATTGGTAATATTCAAACTTTGACGATAAATTCTTTCAAGTTTTGTGGTATGCGGTCAGTACACGATGATTACATAATAATCACTATCGCGTAACTGATAATCATGTTAAAAATCAACTGCATAGAAATAATTATTAATACTAAATTATGTTGATACTAAATTATGTTATGTTCTTTAATAACTTTCAATTTTTCCCGTTCAGAAACATACCAAAAGATGGAATTAGAAAAAAAAAAGCTTAGAACTCATCGTAACAATTGTATGGGGTCAGCTATAAAATTTCATTCCGTGGCTTTACCTGACAATAACAATTTACCTTCCGATGTAAATGCAATGCTCAGTCTCATAAGGTAATTAATACCACACTACAATATTTATTATGTCAAGTTGTTTTTATTAGTAATTTTCGAACCGGTATCATGTTTAACAGTCATGACCAACGGAATCGCGTGAGACTCCGTGGTAATAGTAATAAAGCAACCGAGATTTTTAACCGATTTTAAAAATTTTTTTTAAATTTCGAACCTGATGTTACAATTTTTATTTGAAATAAAATAACAAATAATTTTTCGAAATTTTAGTATAATGTATTCATTGCAAGTGGCCTCACGTTTTAGCACGAAATTATTTGACGAATAAGCTGCTTTTTTATAATTAGTTACGCGAGGTTTGTTTCAAATGAAAACAGTGCCAAATGCAGAGCAGACTTCTAAACAATATTTTCATCACATTCAAGCTTGATGAAACAGTTTTATGTGAATAAGTAAAAGGAAACGATAGAAGAGTTTAGATAGCCGTGTCAATGAGCTTCTTGTATCGGGATCCAGTAAGCGACGATGTATTTTCGAAGCACATCTATAGTCTATGGTCAGCGCCAAGATGCCAAAGATTGTTTTCCAACATAACGGTCAAAATATCTCAAGGTGCAAATAATGGATTTCCGATTCATGTATATTTTTATCTGTGAATCATTCTTGATTGAAAAGTAAAATTCAAACTTTTCAGATCAGATGTTAAATAACGATGTTTTTTTTTGATTTAGCGCCAAGTTCACCGCCTGCTTTTTTTATTGTTGTAGCCAAATAAAACATATTTCATAACATTTTTTAAATATTTTTTATCCATGTTGCCAGATTTTTCTTCTATCAATTTTATTAGCCATTGTTGAACGCTCGTTCAAATATTACCTACGTAACATGAAAAAAATGACTTCTTTTCTGATCTCCTTACCCTTATCCTTTTGATCACCCTGTAACGCTTCTTCTAGGAATTTTACATAGATGCTTATTTAATCCATAAAAAGCGTTAATTCTGTGTTTTTTAGATTATTAAGAAATAGTAAACCCTCCCTCCTCTCTTAGAGCGTTACGTAAAATTCGAATGGCCGCTAAGACATCGATTTGAGTTTGGTCAATAGAACAATTATCTGTGCCAATAGGTTAACTTTGCGAACTAATCAATATTTGAAACAATTTCAACAAGTATGGCTTCTTAAACTAGGTTCATTTTTTAGTTGATATATCTTCGACAAGATTTTTCCAACACGTTTAGTATGCAGCAAAAGGTCCCTTATTAAATTACAATTTTTAAATAAAAGTAAATTTTGAACTATAAATAAACAAAAACCCTAACCCTTTTTCCCATAGAAGTTATAAATTTTTTGCAAATTGTTGATGAGAGATAGTTTACTCGACTTCGTCCTTTATTTCCAGATCTTTTCATATGCAAGGAGTCCTAAACATTCCGGATATACGTTATTAGCTTATTCAATAATTTAATTTTCACCTTTGAAAGGCGAACCACATTCTGCCAAAGAGCAGACTAATGCAGCCACGCATTTGAAGATTCACCTCTAATATCGACTGCTACATCAATTGTGAGTCAATTGTTCAGAGCATTTGTATTCTGTTTATATATGCCAGCATAGATGATTGGTGTTTAACACAGCCTTCATGTTCTGAAAACCTTTTGTAGCATGCTTCCAATCGCTGAAACCAGTGGTAAACTGCGATTCCCAAGATGAAAACAAATGAAAGATATAACAAAAAGAGAAGCTGTAGATTTTGAGTACTTCAGCCAATCCCGTTTTTTCTTTTCGCCGTTTGGTAATATGCGGTAAAACATCTCTTTGGAACAATACCTTTGATGATCATCATACATTCGAACACATTCTGAAGAGTCAAATCATCAATGGTTTTAACTGGTGGATGCTGCACAAAATGTTGTCGTAGTTCATTTGGAACAGTCCATGCGGCAAGATAATCACTGACTCTGAAGCAAGATTGTTTATAACCTGCAAACTCCGACTGTAGAGAAAAGTTGTCCTCAGTACTGTATGCAAAAACTTGATCATCAGTTTTGGATTGACAACTCTGGGTATGAGTGGATGAAACCATATTATCGAGATTGACGACATGGTAATGTCAACCTGAGATGAGTATGACAAAATGCTTGGTGACAAAGAAGCTTTGCAGCACACCGATGGGAAACATTATTTATCAACAAAAGTAGCAACTTGAAAAATTCGCTTAGTTACTGGCATTTATCAACTATATTTTTACCTTCAATTTCTTTATTAACACGTGTTTTCCTCCTTTAAACGTTTTTGCTTACCATTTTACCTATTAAATTAAAAATCAATACCAGTCAGTTTAAAATCGTTAACGGGCAACCTAGATTACCGCAGATTATTTTTATTTCAACCGCTTCCCAGTTCAATTATTATTTTAAAATATTTATTATTATGTTATTATTTTTAATGTATGGAACACTTTTAGACCTTTTTTTATAAAAAATAATCAACCAATTCAACCATTCAATCAATCAACTCACGACTGATGTTTTCAGCAAGCAACGAGTACTGAAATTTGGCCGCTACTAGTAAAATTGTCTTGAACGGAGGACAAACAAGATATCCATGCTCTGCTGTTCTCAATTGGCTTTGCTCTGAGACATCCATAAAAATTTAACATCTTTTTTAAAGGAGTCGATGCTTTTCCAGTTGAACAGTTTTCTCCATAAGAGCTATAATAAATCGAATTCTGTCCTTTACCGATAACCATTGAGGTTCATTTTTCATGCAGCTAAATATTCCGTCAGACACAGCTGGATAAGTTGTAAAATTTGGAGACATTATAGTGTGGACGCTAGACGGGATAAAGGACTACCTTGCTAAACAGTTTACGAATAAATTGCTGATTTATTCTTGATATTGTTCGAATCAAAGGAAAATATGTTAATGAACAAAACAGTCTTCCTGAGAGATTCAAAAAATAGTGTTTCCTAAAAATAGATTTGATCCACAAACGCGCAAATTTGTGGATCGTTGTGAACGAATTCTGCATAATAATACCGAGCCTCTATTTTTGTTTCCTCGAGTATTATTATTTGGATTTTATGCGAACGATCTGCAGATATCTAAACGGAATTGAAATTCAATGTCAAAACCTTCAGATATCTGCTACGCTGAAAACTTTAGAAACCCCAAAGCCTTGAAGATAACAACTTTCAACATTATAACAATATCAGCATAACACTATCTTGAAAATGGGTACAGTAACATTTTTTCAATTAACGACTCACACAAGTGGTGACAAAACGGCAGCTTAGATTTAGGCAAACTTTTTCAAACTAGGCACATTTAAATCTACTATAAACTCAATGGTATGTTTCGATTTCTTAAATCTTTAAAATACATTTAACGTGTTTTTTTTTGTATTTTCAACATGTTTTAATATATACGTTTTTTTTAGAGATTCTAAAGAGTTACCACCTCCCAAGAAGTGCTCAAGGAATTTTGTTACATTTACCGACGAGAAAATACTTAATAATTTTTTTCCGGTCAAGAATAATCCAAAAATACCAGAAAAACAAGTCTGTGTTGTCACTGGCTCATCCGCTAAATATTTGGACCCACTGACGTCATTGCCTTATGCCAACAAAGAAGCATTCAAGATAATTAGAGAAGCGTATAAACAAAAAATTTTACTAGATAAAGTTGAAAATGAGAAAAGACGTGTTAAATTTTAAGTAAAATTAATATACAAATATTAATAATCCGTTGCAACCATTTCAAATAATAAAATATCAAGGCGTCGTTAGTTTGTCAGAAATTGTTAATTACGTTAAATTAAAAAAATTAAGGCATGCATTTAGATATAATAGAGTTAAACTCTTTGACAGGATGGCACAGTTTCATTTTAAAGGCTAGATTAAAAAGAATTGGTTTGTCGGTTTGAAGTTTTTCAGCTAGGTTTCGTGCAATCACGTGCATCATCACCTGAAAAAATAATGTTTAATGCAAGTTCTTTTTTGATGTTTTGTTTCAATCAAATACATTTATAACATGTAAAAAAACATCTACTACCTAACGACACAGTATATGCTAGACAGGCATTACTGAACCGATGTACTGAAAACTATCAGTATACCGATAACGACAATTTTCCAGTACCGATACCAACCATCGGTACTAAATCGTTTATCGAACCGAGAAAACAAAAATTACTGATGTACCGATAAATTAACGATGAAGCAATCATCATTAAAGAAAATCATAACAAGCATTAATCGCAAATGCACGTATGTTTGTTATATATGCTTATACGGTTTATATAAAAATGTAAATATATATGTTCCTAATTTTTATACATTCCTCTTATATTATTTTATAAATACATTAAGTAATTTGATGCAAAGATAATTTTTTTACGCTTAAAGTTCAGCTTACTGATGTTACTATCTTAACTACTTTGAATTAATGACACCAACACCAAGTTGGAAATAATAAATGAAGCATTGTTATAAAAATTTGCGTTCATGAAGATAAAATAGGGTGTAATAATTCAAGAGGGCAATCTTAACAAAATAAATAAAATCGACAGACAGTTGGGAGAAAATCAATGCGGTTTTAGAAAATAAAGTAGTTGCCCAGATTTTTCTCTTGTGACAGCTAATTGGAAAGAGCATGGAAGATATAATCATGTGTTTTGTGGATTTCGCCCAAGCCTATGACTTCATATGGAGACGGAGAATGGATGGTCCTAGAATGATATGGAATTGATAAAAAATAAGAATAGTAAGAGTTTACACAGTGGTTTAGAGTTGTGTGTCAAGATCAGCAGCGAAGAAACTGAATGGTTCAAAGTCATAACGGGTTTCAAACTGGGATGTATTCTGCCACAGACCCTTTTCAACATAGTTTTTAATTATATACTTCTAAAAGTGGAACAATTATATAATGGCTTTTCCCTTATGCTAATTTTGAATATGCTGACGGTGATTGTCTAATATCAGACTCATTTGATAAATTAAAAATTTTGGTAGAAATCTAGCTGAAGAAAACAAAAACTTGGGCTATGGCTAAATTTTGAAAAAAGAATATGGCGACAGTGGCGGATCTAAAGGGGTATGCGGTAATGTCCCCCACCGGGCCCTAAAAATTTGTTTAATCATAATTAATATATTTATATATTATTTATTAATTTTATTATATTAGTTTATTTATAGCTAAAAAATTCAAATTTTTTTTACCAAAAATTCCGCGTTGCTAACTTGAACTTATTATTGACTACCGTTTTAAATTTGGTAGCGGAACAACAACAAATCTGGGCGGGTTTGTTTTAATGAAATAAATTTTTTATGAAAAATGAGCAAGATTGAAAGATTTTTCCTTAAAAAAGAAAAGTAAAAAAAAATTTAACATCCTAAGTATTTTTAAATAAACAAAACGATGTTAAGGTCCTCCCATTTATTCTAAAGATCACATTTATAACATTTTAGTTTTCTAAAAATGTAGAGGGATTCTCGGTATTTTAAGGAATATACCCAAAATGTTCGTTCACGTAAAGAAACTTCCTCAAATCGCTATAACGCTGCATATAAATAACCTGCTGAGCGATCATTCAGCGCAATGAAAATACTCAAATGTCGTTTACGTTCAAGCATGATAGAAAAGAGGCTAAATGATTTAGCACTAACGTGCATTCATAGAGACATCGTATTTGAAATTATCATCGATAGTTTTTTTTATGATGAAAAACTGTAAAATTGATTAGATGTGAATTAATATATATTTATTTTTGTAACAAAAACATATTGGAGGTCTTTTGTAATTGCATATCTGCTTATATTCATGATCTGATTTTTTATTATTCTTTTGCATATTTGGGGACTCAGTTCTTTAAAATAATAGTTTGATTTTTTAATAAGAAACTGCATGATTTGGTCTGTATTATAATACATCTAAGTTGCTTGTTGCTAATGCATTGCATCTTTAAATAACTCGACTCCATCAAATACTTTGGATTTTATACGAATAATGTCAATCATCCTCCCCAACAGAAATTTCTAGATCTGCCACTTCATGACGGTAACCAAAAAACTGTGGACTAAAGTTTGAAATTGATGGAAATTATGTCAACAATTTTGTCTAATACGAATGCAAAGATTTTATACTTTCGTATTACAATTTCATATTTACGGGAGAAATTTTTGCAATCAAATGTCTTAAGGTATACATTTTTATAAATAACTGCCAAAATGTCTACTTTTAAAAGTATACCCATTGATTTTTTTTTAAAAAGTTGAAAAATCAACCCCCTTATGTACAGTAGCAGATCATGTTTCAAGTTATAAAGAATACGTCATGTTCTGAAAGTTATATTAAAGTATACTTTGCTTTTAAAAGTATACTCATTGATTTAAAAAAAAGTTGAAAAATCAACCCCCTAATGTACAGTAGCAGATCATGTTTCAAGTTATAACGAATACGTCATGTTCTGAAAGTTAGATGAAATTGTCGTATAGACTAGACATCCACTTCTATGTCGTCAAAATGATATAATGCAAGTCTCCGATGGCTACTTAAAAAGCTTGTTAAACTCTACGATTCCGATTCACATAACAAAATCGGTGACACACATACGTTGAGGACTCTATATTCAGCTTCATACGGATATCGTGTGGTTTAAAAATCACCTCATGCAGTCTCCCGTAAATATGAAATTGTAATACGAAAATAAAAAATTTTAATTGTTTTTTAATAATTTTTAATGTGTAGCACAAAGATATTGTAATTATAATAATTACAATATCTTTGGTGTAGTCTGATACAAATAAACAAACATATATATAAGTTCGAGTATATATTGTTTGAATGCATTCAATGTTATCAATTTCTGCAAGCACTAGATTGAATTATTGTCATTAGCTGTCAAGATAAACGTGTTCCAATCAAGGTAATTTTTTGTGTTTACTAGATTTCATTTTAATTTTGAGAAGTCAGTGTATTTGAGATGTAAAATGGTTGGCACAGAATTATCTGTTTTGAAGAAAAGTGGGATTATATATTTGATATAACCAAAGTGAATGGTAACTGGCTTAGCAATGAAGATAAAGAATTTTATTTATTACAGATGAAAACTGATGGTCAAGCTGGTTGGTTTGCACATCAAAAATTGTTAAAGTACATCCATCTAAAGCTGGTAAGAAGAGAACTATCATAGCTGAAACAGATACAGTAGAGGTCAGTGATGACAATAAAGGATACAATGAACAAGTTGATGAGCAAGACTCTGATTATAATCCACCAGACAAAAAAACAAAGAGAAAATATGAGAACACCACTGTTGCTGTTGACTTGATTAAGAAGTAAAAACTAAGTATTAAGAGATCAGCAAAAGTTTGCAAAAATTTATCTGAATGTGGTGTTAATGTGCAAGCACCATCCAAATCTGGGGTTTATAGAGCTACAATGTCAGAAGCCCAAAAAACGGAAAGGCATATGATTAATCATTTAAAAAATGATGATTGGGTGTTGCATTTTGATGGTAAAGAATATCCGGGATTGAGTATCAAGTCATGATTTTAAAAAATGCAGAAAAAGAGGTCAAGTTAGCCATTTTGAAATTGGATGATGGTAAAACTAATAGTATTTACAGTGGAATAGCTGAAGTGCTAGATAAATTTCAACTATGGAGTATTATTAAAGTTATAGTGTTTGATACTACAAGTGTTAATACTGAAAGTAAAAATGGAGTTGTAAGCTAACTTCAAAAAATTTGAATTCAGAGAATTTGAAAGAAAAAAATCTTGAACCAGTTCAATTTATTGGTTGTCAGCATCATGTGTTAGACAATTTTGAAGCATTCCATGAATGACATTTTAGATGAAGGAAAAAGCTCATCACCAGAAATACATTACAAATTTATTGTAGAACTGCAAAAAATCTATAAAAATTTAATATCAAACTTTAAGCAAGGTGAAAAAATTTGTAAAGACTAATAAATGGAGAGATGATATGGACTTTTTGTTTGAGTTGGTACAAAGTTATCGATACATGAAGGTGAATGGTAGCTGTCCGGCTATAAAATTCAAAAGTCTGCCATCATTGAACAATGCCAGAGGGAATTTAAAAACAATCTATGCTCTCCTGGTTTATTACAACTTCGCATGGTTTGTGACTACATTGCATCAGCCTGGTCTGATATATGGTTTTCTGATATGCAATACTCAGAACATAATTTTAACAATTTAGAACAAGCGATAACTTCAACTACAGCCATGAAAACCTTGAACTTGAAAACATGTTGATCCCAGGAGCCCAGTCGCATACAAGAAATTCAGAGATCTAATATCTGTGTGAAAAGACCAATAAAAATTGTGCAAAAAATTTGTGCAAAAGATATTGACAATATGAACTTCAGATTTATTCTGCAAAACAACTTTTAAATTTCACAAACAATTGACCTTCGTATATTAATCAACAGAAAGTTTTGTAAAAAATAAATTGCTTTTTTCTGTTAATTTGTCAATTTTTACGTTATATTTTTTACTTACGGGGGACATTTTTGAAACTTTAGTCAATAAAACTTTTGCAATTGGTAATCTCATGTCAGATTTTGGTACTATACCCATGTATAGTTGTAAAAAAATCAACCCCCTACTGTAGAAGAGATGAAAAATGACTTCTGGACTGCATTCTCTGACACCATCTCAACAATACCAAAATCTGAAACAATCCTGATTGG